GTTCAACGAACGAATCTGTCAGTGAGCTACTGTTGAATCTGAACACACGCTGGCGATGATGACTCTCGAATCCCCGTCCACGGGCTCGCCGTATGACGGCCAAGCGCTCACCAGCAACGAAATCCGTCTTCTCGCCATAAATTACGTCGACAGCACCATCGAACTTCACACCAGCTGTCACGAGCTCACCGAAGACATGGAGTACGATGCGATCTCATATGTTTGGGGGCACACACCAGCCTCGGTCTCGGTTACCTGCAATGGCAGACTTCTCATGATCACACCAACCGCACTGGACATGTTGCATTACATACATCGATACCAACCGAAGACGACAACGCGAAAGATTTGGATTGACGCAATCTGTATCAATCAAAAAGATGAAGAAGAGAAGAGTACTCAGATACCCTTGATGCGCGATATCTATTCCCAAGCGGCAAATGTTGTCGTATGGATGGGCCCTTCGACTGCGGAAACTGACGTCTTCCTTGCCAAATTTCAAGACGTTAATGAGAGATTGAAGGACTGGGTAGCGCATTACCCGTATCCTACAGATGTTGATGTCGGTGATCCAGTCAAGGAAGAGTGCCATGATGATGAAGACACCTTTTGGAGCGGATTAGGCCAACTACTCAACAACGAGTGGTTCAAGCGTCTATGGACATACCAGGAGATCATTCTTCCTGAGACTGCCATATTACTTTGTGGTAGTTCTTGCTTGGACTTCGATGAGCTCTTCGATTTCATGATGCAAGGATGGTTCACTAGCGACTATATAGCAAGGACAAAACGACCAGGCATAAACACCGGTACTGCCATCACATTCCATCTTTGCAGTAATATTAGGACCTATCGATCCAACAATGTCGGCTATGGGCGCGCCAAGGCAATGGGGGCTCTTGATGTCACGTCGACTTTGTTCAAGGTACGATCTCGACACGTAAAGGAGCCGGTTGACCGTGTTTGGGCGATCGTAGGACTTTTGGAGAAGAAACTCCGAGATGAATTAGCCTCAGACGTTGACTACAGCGAAAAGGCTCGGGACAGCTACTGGAATACGTGGATCGTATTTGCCAAGGCTTTAATATTTCAATCTGGTGGATTGAGCCTGTTGCACATTCCGCCTACCCTGGAACCTAGACCTGGAGATCTACCGACCTGGTGCCCGAATCTGTTTGGTAGGTCATCTTGTAGGATGGCGATCAATGGACATTGGAATACAGAGATAGTTGAAACATTCAGTTCCATGGCTTGGGCTTTGAGCGAAGACTATAGTGCACAAATGAGCTCGGAGAGACGAGAAACGATACGGACTGTAGGTCGATTTACCATGACTACGGAGCTACACAATTTCCTCGGCATCTATGGCTTTGTGCTGGACACTATCGAAGAGGTTGTGGAACACGATAAACCTCTTGACATTACACTCGGCCATTACGATCGAGATTCGGAAGAGCACATAGCCTTATACCATACTGCTGTCGATCTACATATGAAAGCAGTAGATCTAGCTCGTCGTGTCTTCTACGGGAAGAGCGACGACATTACCAATGTACCAGAGGATTTTATCATGGCCCTCTTCTTGGATTGCCGCGTTACCAAAGACACCAAGAACACATATCATGAAACGTTACCCGAATTAGCAAATTGGAACTCAAAAAATTGGCTTGCTACACACCAAAGGGCACAGTGTCAACACCGGGTGACATATATGCGCGGACATACATTCTTCAGCACGAAAGGCGGTCGCATTGGATACGCTCACCCAGGCTGCAAACCAGGAGATCAAGTCGTGACCTTCTATGGGGGAGAATCACTATACATCCTTCGGCAGTTGAACCCAACGGAAGACGACATCGACTCGACTGGACAAGCATCTGACCACGTTCAGTATATGGGCGCTGCATTCATCCCTCATCTCATGGAGCAACATCAAAGAGACGCTGCGCGCATCGGACCTGACACTATGTTCATGGTTCACTAAGAGCTTTGGATACCTTCGCATGGGCTGCACCGTGTAAGGAGGCCTTGCAGGAGAGCAGGGCACAATGATGATGCACCGGGGAAAGAATCAGGCATTGCGACACAACCGTAATGGGCCAGCTGTTGTCAAGAAGAAGCGTCAGGATACTCATTACCTGCTGATGGGAAATTTGTCAAGGGAGAACCGTATTTCATATGTAGATGGAGGGTATGGCAGCAAGGGATCTTGTACACACCTTAGAGGGGATATATGACCACCGTTATCGACTGATCAACCCACTGACGTACACAAATTCCCTCGCGAAAAGACTTCAAGTTCGACCGTGAAGCCTACAAGGGGGGATATATCACGTACGGCATCAGACTCAGGGCATCTCGGTTAGAAATTCGCCCGTGTACAACTCTAGCGCTCAGTACTGACTCTCGTGCATGCAGTAGTCGGAGCAATGTCTGCGACTTGGAGGCCAAAAGGGAGCTCCTCACATGCCTGACCAAGTCACTTCCAACATGCCAAAACCACTATCAGATTTCTGCAGAACATAACCATGGTATCGGTATCTCCATTCAAAACAACCCCACCTACAACTTCCTACTCCTAACAAGCCCAGCCTTGATACCCGTAAGCTCACCCCCATAGTTCGCACTGCCCTTAGCCGCAGCCCCCTTATCAAACACCTGCTTCATACTCTTGAGCTTCTTCTGCTTCTCCTTGTACTTCTCCTTCTTCTTGACACGCGGGTTCCGCACGCTCTTTTTGCGGTGAGGCGTCAATCTAGTCATCACGTTAGCATTTGTTCCAGGAAAATGGGGGGAGTGGGAATGAGAGGAGATGGAAGGAAACATACCCCTTATTCTTCTGAATCTGGTAAGAAATCATACGACGCCCATCATCGCCAACGACTTCCTCTTCAATAACCTGGGCACCTTGCTTCTTGGCGAGGGCGTAAGCCTCCGCGCGTTCAAGCTTAGTCTGCTTCTTGTCCTCTGAGCGGGCGGCAATCATATCGTAGTAACCATCCTCATCTTCAAAGTCATCGCGCTTAGTCGCTGGCGCTTCATCAGCGGACGAAGCGCCATCGTCTTCGCCCAGCGCAACACCGGGACCGGCGTCCTTGTGTTGACCGCGCTTCTCGGCTTCAGCTTGCAGACGCGCTTGTCTATCCTTGAGTCGCTCGCGGTGCGGGATGTCGGCGTCGCCGCCCATGTCTTTGCCCGCGGCGTCGCGCTTGTTGGCCTTTTGAGCGATTTGCGAGGTGTAGAAACGGAGAGATTTCTTCTTTTTGGCTTTTTCGGCGGCTTCGTGCGCGGTGAGTTCCGTTTCCTCGCCGAAGTCCGAGTCATCTGCGTTGAGGAGGTTGAGCTTGGGTTCTGCGGTCTTCTTCTTGCGCGATGCCTTCTTGAGGGCGGCCTTGTCGGCGAGGGTGTCGAGTGATGCGAGGTCTTGTTCGGTCTTTGCGAGCTTCGCTGCGCGTCGCGCTGCTGCTTCTGCTTGCGCCAATTCTGCTGCTCGTTCTGCCTTGGTCTTCTTCTGCTTTGTGGGTTTCTTGACGGTCAGGTCGTTTTCGAGTTCGTCGGCGCTCACGTCCTCCATAGCTGAGTCGTCGTCGTCGTCGCCGGTCTCTACCATGGGATCCGCGATAGGCAGATTTTCTATCCGCGTCCATACCTTCTGGCACTTTAGCAGGGTCTCCATCACTGGGTGTTCGTGTAGCTCAGCAGGATCCATTGCGATGACCGGTGACCCGTCGTCCGTTGCAGTGGAGCCGAGTACAGCAAAGTACATAGCCATCGCTGCGAGATATGCGGCGCATGCCCGGTATTTGGTGACAGCCTTTGGCGTTGGGGGAATTCTGTCTGCCTTCCCCGACTTCGCCATTTGTGCCTTCAGCACCTTCTCGGCGGCCTTCGCGGCGGCAGCCAGTTCCTCGTGTAGCGGTTGCAGCCTCAAGTATTCTTTCGAAATGTGCTCGAACTCGGGGTATCGCGTGCGCATGATCTTCATCCTCTCCTCCTCGGTCATGCTATCCGTGATCTGAAGTTGCGGTAGAACTTCCGTTACTACAGCGCCACCTTCTGCTTCCTTCTCACCATCCTGCGCCATCCACTCGTCCTCGTCGAAGCCAAAGTCTGCCTCTGTCATGCTTTGTAGCTGCTTCTTTTGTATGCGCCGCGCTTCCGCTTCCTCGTCCAACGCGTCTTGCTCCGTTTCTATCGCATCGGCGTTGTAGTAATCCTTCTTCGAGGTACCCCATCCACCAACGTCTTCATCTTCCTCGTCGGCTGGTTTGCGCTGTCCCGTGACATCATCTCCTGACTCGTCGCCGGTATCCTGGTCGTCGAAATCGTCTTCATCGTCGTCGTCGCTGCCGGCATCGAGGATTTCTTCGTCCGAGGCCTCTAAGAATTTGTCTAGATCCAGATCAGCTATCGTATACCATACATATAACATCATTTGGCTAACCTTCTTCCTGGTACTTCCTCAACCTCTTAGCCGCCGGTCCTTCATCCAGCAGTACCTTGTCGCGATTGATATGGAACTCGTCCTCGGAATCCGCAACATCCTCATAAGAGTTGACCGCCATCCTGGAGTCCTCCTCTTTCAGCGCTTTTGGCGCGCGCGACCCGCCACTACCAGCCTTTCTCTTTTTTGCCATGATTGCGATATGTGTTGGTGCGTGGCGTATGTGGTGGTCGCAAAGTGTCGCGGGAACTTTTTTTCGGTAAGAAGTCTTGGCTTTACCGCGGAGGTTGGAAAGTCTCCACTAGTGGAGCGGAGCTAAGCTGCAGGGCGTGTGCGTATGTAAGCACGCCGCATGTGAATTCGATACTGACACGCGATTTCACCGTACACCAATTGAGCATTGCGGTACCAATTCGTCCGCGTAAGCAAAGCCGGATATCAGGCTTCCGATACTTCCCTTTGTTGGAGTTATACAGTGCCGTTCCTCATGTCCCAACTGCTTCTCGGAGCAACCATCATCCTCTTGGTGCTCGTTGGACTTATTAGTGCGGACATCATGGGTTTCGCATTCTGGAAAGGCAACCAATTCCCTGTGGAGGGCAGAGTAAGCTTTGGATCTCTCATTCAATTCGAGTACGTGCTAATGGCATATATAGACGGTTCTACTTACCGGCTCCTCTCAAGGAATGGGCTGCGAAATCGCCCGTCTCCTCTCCGCGCGCGGCGCAAACCTCATCCTCGTCGCACGTACCGCGAAGAACCTCGAATCCGCCCTAGCCCACGCGAAAGCCCATGCCAAGAACCCCTCGACCCAACGCTTCACCTACATCGCCGCCGACGTGACCTCCGAGTCTGAGAACACGCGCATTCTGAAGGAAGCTACAGCATGGAACAATGGACGCGTGCCGGAGATAGTTTGGTGTGTCGCGGGGTCTTCAGTACCAGGCCTCTTCATCGAGACGAGCACTGAGACGCTGAGGAGACAAATGGAGCTCAACTACTTTGCGTCGGCATACATGGCACACAAGACACTGCAGGCATGGTTTTACCCCGAAGTACCGTACAAGCCGCAAGAAAAGGGTACTGCTCCAGAACTACCTCGCAAATTCATCATGACCTCGTCCGCGCTCGCTTTCATGAACCTCGCAGGCTACTCGGCCTACTCCCCCGCCAAAGCCGCAATTCGATCCCTCGCCGACGGCCTCCGCTCCGAAGTCCAGCTCTACAACGCGGCGCGTCGCTCCAAGACGAGTAGCACCGGTGTTGTACCCGCACCTTTCGACGTCGATATCCACATTGTCTTCCCAGGCAGCATACTATCCCCCGGTTTCGAGAACGAGAACAAGACGAAACATCCCGTGAGCTTTGAGCTAGAGTCTTCCGACCCAAAGCAGACTGAGCTGGAAGCTGCGACAGCGGCGGTCAAGGGACTGGAAGGGGGAGATTTCATGACTCCTACAAACTGGCTCGTGCATCTGATGCGTTATGGCTCCATGTCCGGTAGCCAGAGGAACAACGTGGTTGTCGATACTATCGGAGCATGGGTTGCGACAATCATCTGGTTGGTCATGGTGCCGGATCTGAATGGCAAAGTCTGGGCTTGGGGCAAGAAGAATGGTATGAGCGTGTTCAGGCCAAATGCGCAGTAGATGAGGTTTTGTATTGTGAATGGCATAGGCGTATACCCCAGGTGACATTATACTATCCAATTGAAATGTTAGATTCGCGATCAGCCAAGAACCCCCAGGACTCTCCAGAAGTGGAATCCATCCAATCCGCTCGTGGAATGATGTCTGGCATGTTGTACCCAGGCTGATAAGATCGCAGTACATGTGCCGGTACCTTTTCAACGATAGCATACTCGCCCTTGACAAAGCATTGCCATGGATATGGAGTCTTGAACTCTAGTGCGTGTGCATAGCCAGGTTCAACATCTTCTATATCCTCGAGATCTACAGGGACGCCAGTGACCAGAACGTCTAAGCTAGGACACCAACCACGCGCATCGAGGTATTGGAAGAAATTGCTGGCAAATACCTCTGGTTGGAGTTCGTACTCTTCCCCGTATGTGTCGCGATGGAAGATGTCGGGATAGTATGTGAATAGAATTGAGCGCAATTGCGTCATCTGCTCGAAACAGTTCTATGATCGTCAGTCATATTGCTCCAGTGCGTGAAAGAACCCTGCTTGCCAGAAACTCTGCATACTCCTCATCTTCGTCTTCTTCATCTTCGTCATCTTCCCCTTCCCATATGGAAGCTTCCATGACATCCTTCGATATTGGTAAGCGAAGATGTTCCACGTTCTGGCATATCGAAAGTAGGCGCGATAATTGATCGTCCCAATCGCCGAAAGGAAACGTAGTGTATCGATTCTGGACGCCGAGACTCTTCAATCCAGGGCCCCTGCGCTCGATCATGCGCCAGAATTTGTCTAGATTGTCCTCCTGATGATCCCAGACGAGATGCAGACTAGTAAGGTTTTCGCAGCAGTAAAGCAAATCTGAGATGGAATCCCTGCCATCAATGGCAACATACACATGCTCCAAAGCAGGGGTTCTGCCGTTGAGGCTAGACACAAACTTGTCGTAAACAGTGGCGTTCTCACAATTGAACAACGCAAGAGTTTTGACGTCACTGAAATCGATGGTGGCTGCCAAGCAGCACCAAATCTCGTCAAACTCGACGTTGTATAACTTCAGGTGGGGCAACTTCAAGAGTCTGCTTTCTGAGTCGGCGGATTCGTGTACATTGTGGTCGTGTCCCTCACCGTCGGCCCGAAAGTTTGTGAGATCTATACTCACCCGCTCGAGGCAACGGATCTGTAAATGTCGCAGTTCTCGTTGACTACACTTGAGCAGATGAAAGATGTCTTTTCGGAGACTTCGGCCCATGGCAATGAATCTAAGTTTGCCTAGTGATCAGTCTCTATAGTAACTTATGGTGAGATGAACTAACCTGAAGGCATGAAGCTGATTCTTTGGAAGCATGGAGATCAAAAGATGCATCAGCACGTCTCTTGCATCAGCCGCACTAGCCAGGTGCTCATGGTTCGGCGGTGGTGCATCATCCGCTGGGTCACGTAACTCATCTTCGAAAGATAAGCTCCTGATGTGACGCAGGTGGTAACTGGCCCCTGCAGCGATGCATTTGAAGAATCTTGTCAGGCCTTCCTCCCTAGTGTGTAAGTAGACAGTATGGTACAGTCGCGGTAAACTGAGGTTGCGCAGGTGTTTCGACGTCAGACAAAGAGATTTAAGGTCGCGTTTCGTATGGATGTATCCGAGTATGAGTAGCTGGACCTCGTTCGAAAGAGACTGCATGACGCGTTGAGATACCTAGGTAGTGTGGAGGAGAGAGATTTTGCGGGAAGTCGCGAATGTGGACGCGACGCGCTGTTCCACTTTGTTCGCGTTGCCCCGCTGTTTAAGGAAGCCGCCAGGGGTCCCCAGCACGACGTCACGTGAGATAACCGTGCCCCTCATCCGACCACTTCGCACTCCCATTGCGCAACCAATCCTCCATCCCCACTCATCGCAGCATGGACATTCACGCCCTCAATGTCCGCCTGAAAGCCGAGCTTGTCGAAGATGTCAAGCGGACGAGACTGGAATACGTGCGACTTCCGCGTTGAACAGCACAGCGCCAAACAGACATTTGTTGTTAGCTGATCGCATTTCCCAGCTTTCGCTCTACTCGGATCTGAAAGCGCTTTACTTGGTTTCGAAGGACTGGAACAGCATCGCTACGGAGTACCAGTACCGAAAGACCGTGCTACAGAACAGTACATATGCTCGCGATGACCGGCTGTCGAACTGGCTCTTTCCAGGCACTGCCACTGTATTCCGGCGATGCCTTGACATCAGCGCGCGAAAGCACTTGATACACACGCGGAGTCTGAACCTACTAGAGGGTATACGACATGAACCAGGGTCTGGCTCAGCTAACAATCTTGCCTCCGGTAACTACGCTGTCTCTGTCCGTGTGTAAATATCAACCACTACAATACCTGTCCAGCTCATCCAAACTGCGGAATCTTGTTTGCTTCGGACTACGGAATAACGACAAGTTAAACAACTCCGTGAACGAAGACGGTAAAGCGCTGGTGACACGGAACCAGATCTTCGGCACTTTTGTCACCACATGCGTGAACTCCAAAATGTGTCTTCAGACTCAATAACACAGCGCGCTTTCTAGGAACCAATCGAAAAGCTTAAGAAGCTGAATATGCTGCATCTTTATCAAGGCCGCAACACCAAAGTCCCTATTTTCCTCCTCTCTGCCTGAAGTGGATGCTCGCGACATGCATCACCGACTCGCGACACGGTTTTTTTAATGGACACATACACGATGTCCCTCCATCAAGATGCTCCTAATCGCGCCAAATTCGGCGACCCTTCATTATGGGGAGGCATATCCTGAGCCGGACAGAAGGAACGCAAGTCCAGAGTTCTCATACAAAATCGTGGAGAATTCAGCGCAACAGAGTTTCTCAAAGAAGGTTGTAGAGATCGACAATGGGACCTCCCAGATCGAAGCAACAAGACTCACTCAAAGTCGACTTCGAGCGGACTTTCCAGAGCTGTATATATTTGACTACGATACCGACACTCTGGTAGCAGATCGCCTGGCCTAAGAGGTTGTATAGCATGCGATGGTTTTGGCTTGGGCCGGGAAGCGAATGAGCCTGGTTCCCGAACCAGATTTTCGCCTCTCAGGCCCCCAGTCCCATACGTGGAGTTGAGCATCTACCTCGGCGGATGCAGCTATAGAAGATGTACAGGGGCTCCAGCGTTGACCATCACATGGAATTGAGCCAAGTCAGATTTGCTAGCGTGGAATGCCCTGAACGAAAACACGGCTCGGATGCGTGTCATGTCCAGTCTCCCGGACCTGCGGACTCATGGGACCGGCGCTACTATCGACGATCACGACGATCATCCAGAGGGCCGTCGTCTCATCACCTTCGTATTGGAACATTAGTACGACCGAGACAGATGCCGACATCATGGTATTCTCGAAGCTGCATCCGTGTGCGTGAAAAGACTGATTGACGGCTCAGCAGCAAAGTCCAATAGCGGTTCTCCGGAAGCGAGCCGCTGGACCCTTGCCCCAAGACAAAGTGGGCCTGCGAACCGCGGGGACAGGCGGATGCGGAGACTACACAGAAGGGAGCTGCTATCCCGAGGCTAAAATTACGGCATGAAGTCGCCATGCTCATCGCTCATGCCACCGAAAGGTTAATTCGTGCAGACGAGGCATCTCAACCGCGCCGAATCATTCACCTGCACCCATGGTCAAAGGGTACCCCATTGTTTGACCCCACAAGCGCGATATAGATCCACTGCAGATCAGATGGTTTTCAGATGCATCTACGTTGGACAACATCGCTGACTGCCGTTGCTTGATATATGCGCATAAGCGCGCGTTGATTGCACGTCTTCAATCGGAGAGCGCCGCAATAAGTTCTGACTCAATTGCAGATTCGATGCTTACCGGGCATAACGCAAGTATTGCCACGCGAGATCTCTTATGCGCAGCTATATTAGTCGAGCGTTTAGATCGTACCGGCTTGGCTAGCTGAGGCGCATTCCTACATACACGAGCCGCATACCGGACGTGAGCCCGCGTGCAGCGTTTCGCTACGGCAGTTTTGCCAGCCTCGCCAACATCAACAACGTGGCAATCACAAGATTCAGGTTCATGAGATATCTGGAACGTGGCGAAAAGAATAAGCCATACAAGCACCGTTGTCTTGGCTTGCATTCTACCAGGGCCCCAAGATTATCCGGGTGAATAGGATCGCCGCAAAGACGCCAACTCATTTGTGTTTCCCAGCGGCCCGGTACCGACGATGTGTTCTAGTGCGAATTAATTACCTCTTGTGGCTCTACTGCCGCTGTTGAGTGCGGCTCGGATTCCCAGGTACCCTGGGTCTGGAAGACGGTACGCAGACTAGCAGTACTACCTCTTGCGCTCTGCTAGTATTAGGCCAATCTCAGAGCATGAGTGTTTGCTGCAGGGCGTACCGCGTTGCTAATGACAAAGGCTAGAGCTTCTCCGATAATGTGCGCTAGGCTAGCTAGGGAACTGCGAAGCGTTTGTGACCATGACTGAGATAAATAGACGGCAAGCCCATGGGTACCTTGTGGACAGTCGATCGACTCTGTATACCTTCCTCCCTTCGTCAATATGGGTCGTTTCTCGTTATTCGCTCCTTTCCTGCTGGCGACCAATGGTGTCTTGGGCGCCAAATGGATTGGTGAGGTCAAGAAGGTGGATGGCGTTGACTATCAGTGTAAGCAACGTCCGCTCTCCAATAACCGGAATATTTGCTGATAACTGTAATCAGGCAAATGCTACTCCGACAACTCCTGCTGGCCCACCAACAAAGACTGGTCGAAGCTCAACCAGACCGTCTCTGGCGCACTACAGCTCGCCATACCACCTGGCGCTGTTTGCTACACCAACTTCGGAAACGGAACTAGCGTCTACGATGCGGCGAAGTGTGCGGATACTCAAGCCAACTGGGCAAATGAGCAATGGCTGTATGAGCAACTTTCTCGGGGAATACAGATGACGAAGCTAACGCAATGCTAGAACTGATCACCCCATCGCCGAGCTCTGGCCGTTCAAAACCAACAACACCT